ACCAGGCGTACCGGAAGAGTAAGAATCTTCTGCTTTATCGACGATTCTCGCTATAAAAACCATAATCAATCCAGGTAAGTAATGACATTGTTCTCAAATGAAGACAAGGTATACAACAACGGAACCAACAGGCAAACTAATGAGTATCAAAGACGTTCAGCTTCATCTCACACAAAGAAATAAAATATTCATCAATAAGATTTTTCATTATATAAATTCATTATCTACCGAGACGAAAAACCTTTCGTGATCTCATTATGCAAATTCACAAATATTTTACTGATAATCAATGTATATAGTTCCATATGATAATGAGTGTACACGTTAATCACACAAGAGGTCACTATTAAGGCCACCGGGTTTAATAGGCTGTTAGAACTATAGTTGATGCCCTCTATAAAAAAAATAATTGAATGTTGTTCATATAGTAAAAGTAGATGGTTGCACTGGAGTTCAATTCAACTGACACAATAGCAACCCTATGTCAATAGATTTTTGTATAAGGTATCGCTTACTGATAGAAAAATAAACAGCACATGTTTTTGAGAAGTGTATGTTGATTTGTGAGGAAGGTTTATGACCTATTTTCGTTGTGTGATATGAAGCTAAATGTATTTGATGCTCGTAGGTTTGCCTGTGGGTTCCTTGGCTTTGTAATTTGCTCTCATTTGAGAAAATGACAATTACTTGATTGACCACAATTAATGTAGCAGGTGTCGTCGATGAACCAGAAGACTGCAGCACCTAATCTTATTCTCCTTGCTATCAGGATTCTCAGTGTAAATCTTCCGTACATATTTTGTCCTTTTTAAATGTACTTTAGTTTGAACTCAGGTTCATTTGTTGGGAACTTTCTCTGCTGATTTAAGATCATCCATGTTTTTTTTTACATGTAATTGCATTTACATTTTATCTAAAGACAATGTCACGGATAAATTCAATATATAGTGCGCAACAGTCGTGAAAGATACAAAACAATTATTAGACACAAGAGTGAAATATATTTATTATTACTGAAGACACTATCAAATATTCCATTTATTACATTTTCGCAAACAAAATAGCCAAATTACTGCCATGCTTAGAACAGATATAAAACAAGGAAGCTGACTAGGCTTTTCGCGGACACTATTCTCTTATTATAACTTCGCAGTACGCGACAAAATATAGTCCGTTTTTAGACAAAAACATTAATTTATGTAAACACAAAAATACATTTCAATGTGTATCTATTTTCATATCCAAATAGAAAATGTTACTTATGCATGTCACTAAGAGACAAAATTTGCTGTAAAGCGTGAAAATATGGCGGCAACCTACAGTCGTTGTTGATGAGACAAGTTCCTTTAAAACGTCTAACCTGTTAGCTCCACATCTAAGACATTCAGTTGGGGATAGGATTTGATCCCTGATAAGGTAACTTGCGTTGCATTGTTTGCCGACTTCCATGGAAATTAACGTTTATCATGAAACTGGATTGTGGCACAAGTAAACAACCCCTTCAGATGTTTGGTTTTGTGTACGGGGGTTCATGGTTTGTCAATTCTATGAAATGATTTGTGGTCTCTCTTTTCATTGGCGTAAACCTGCAAAATAGTATCAATGAGACATTTTTCTATATTTTGTATACATATAAGAAATCATTAAAGAAGGGTGCATGGAAAGAGAAAACGATATATCAACTTGTTTGCCTAGAATGAAGTGGTCTTTTTGTGTTACAAAACAGGAAAAAACCCAGTTAGATTAAAAACGTTATGGCCTTGGTAGAAGATAAAAGCCGGGGTTTAATTGGCTTTATTGTATCAATGCAATTACATAGATTTGATTCATACTGAAAATATACTGTAGTATATGTTTTTATGCCACTGTTTTTTGTGTTTTTAGAATGACACGATATATATACATATATAGCTATTGTATAGTTGTTTTTGATTTTGCATTCATACCACTCATGACATGACACAACATTTTCGTATTTAAATTTCGTGTGTTGTTTACAACTTATAGTAGTGTCCTTGTATCGATTGTTCCCTATGCGAGATAAATATTCATGAATGCGGTTCAGTTTTATTAGGAAGGAACAATGTGACTTTTTTGTTCTTATGGGTCGTATTGATGTATAATGAATATGTGACTATGTTATAAGCATTCATACACAAAACTGGGTTGTTTATTTTATATTTCAATTATCTTAAATAAAACATAACATATGAACAGATACGAAATGTATTATAGTATTAATCTAACCTTAGTGTAGCAATAAAATCAGTCATGTCACTTTCTTGATAGTTCAACAACGCCGTGATTATCAAACACAGATACATTACTTCAACCGTTATTGTTTTCGCGGTGTTCACATTTTGCTATTTTAAATCATGGAATAACATCAGAAAAATGAGAGAAAACCAGACTGTTCCATGTTTTCTCCGAGGAAAAACTTACAGAAAAAATGTATTAAGAAATAATAATATATATATAAGTGCATGAATATTGTTAGTAGATTATATCCGAATTTAGCTTATGTTCTTAATAATGGATTTTAAATTCTAAGCATGCATTAGGGTATATATACATACATGCATACAATTATATATATATATGAAAATTGAAACGTGTAATGCATCTCAATGCGATGATCGTTAACTGATTAAATCACATCGCCCACCTGTGAAACAAATGTTATGGTTCGTGTATATGTCATTAAAATGGTCATTAAAACGATTATATGGTTTAATAACACTTACTTAATACAAAATATATCTATCAACTTACGAAATGTGCTTACAAAAAATACCATCATTCGTATCCTATTTAAACTGTAGGTTAGTGAGACTCGTGTTGCTTTGTATGAATTATAGACGATACCTATGATCGATTTGTGGAAGACGACAAGTGGATTGCAGGGAAACCACTGATCGATGTTCTATTATATACATATAATTTATACCTAATCAGCAGTATCCCCATCAGGTATCCGCCTCTCCATTCACACTGGGCGATCCGTGGCGATATCACTGGCTTGCGGTGAAGCTTTATGGCATAGGTTAAGTTTAGTCGACGGTCGACTGTGTCGTTAAGTCCACCCTTGCAGATCAAATACACACGTTAGTATCATTCCACAGGATAGTATTGAATTTGGAGAACCCCTGTGTTTATCATAACACAAGGTTGGGAAAAACTTGCAGTTAGATAACTGTGAATAATTTAAACGTCGCTTATTTGAAGGTAAGTTATTTTGTTTTCAAGATTGTGGTGGACAATCGGACATGTCAACATGACATTGATTCAATGCAATGAATTGTTGACAAGTACACAATATACGAACAAACGGGAAAAATAGAAAAGCTGGAATGAGAAAAGCGCTTCTTTACTATTTGTCAATAAGTACGTGTAAATAATCAATCGCTGACTGTTGCTAGGATTTCATTGTTTATAAACATATACAGAATCGGATTGACAAAGACTGAAACTTCCTAACTACAATTGTCAAAAATGAAGTCCATCCCAATTGTTCCACTAACTCCGGTAGCGGATGATTTGTTTACTTGTGATTTTTCGTCCTCACAACGCTCATTTGAAGATGGTGTCTGTGAATAGACGAGGGACAAAAGTTTATATATTACCATTGGATTTAGAACCATACGTGAGTGATTTAATTCTCACATACGAAATAAATGTCATATAATATATATCCGATATTGTTGAGAAAACATCAGTATTCTTTGAACCTGGTATACGCTTCTTGAATTGATATGGAATTTCTGCGGCAGCTCATCTTACGCTGCAATCGCATTACTGTTGACTCTATATTTCTGTGGATTTTGTAACAACTCGTTGCAAAATGTGCCCCTCTTATATCCCTCCTCACATGACCCTGCCTGTTGCGGGAACATCATATCGCATAAAAACACAACAATCTGAAACGTATCAAGCTCCAGATGATTAATTAAAGTAATTTCATTTCTGTACATATTTACGAACAAATAAAGCATTTGTCACTACGTTTTTCTGTCTTTTCCTAAATTCGTATATCAATACAAGAATACGGTGATATCTTGACGTCATTCGTTGCTATGGTAACGTGACTTCATTAGAAAAAATAAAACACTGAGCTTAAATCATTTTTGATTTTCTTTGATTTGCAGAAATTTGAACTATTGAATTTATGTAAAAATAAGCAGAATCAGGGTTTTCATTGGCATATTTTGAGCGGCATTATTTAAGCATTCTTCTGAATTAGCTATCAAATTAGGTAGATTTGAAATAGATGTTCTATTCTTCTGCAATAATTGATCATTCTTATCATTTCAAAAAACAATTTGTAGGACCATTCTCTACATTTTTGTTTCTTTTTTTCAAATAAAAAAATTATACAAAGGATATCAGAAATGCTGCATCATTTTTGACCTGGATCGTCCCTAGTAACTATGCCTTACTAAAGTAATATAAGATAACATATGCAATGGTGAGACATTTCTACTCCATGATACAAGCTATCAAACTATTGTAAAATCGAGAAATCTTTTTTTAAATGCAAATACTTGGTGATAGTTTTGAACAAAATTGTTCTACTCTCTAAAATCAAGCCATTTTAAGAACGACCAATGATTATTTATGGCAGCCACGGTTTACGAAAAACCTAAACATTTGTGCTAAAAGCAGAAACATGTCATATTTTATAACAAAGTAAGCTATTATATCAGAAAAATTAATCAAGTAGGAACATATCGATTTCCCTCTTTGACTACTTCCAGGATATGCCATGGAAATTTAAATTTGTGTTGGGTCCGGGCAATGCATCAAGACCGTTAGCATTAAAAAAGCCAGACTTTCCGAAAATCAATGTAGAGACAAAGAGATAATACAAAGAAACCATGTAGGTTCTATATTACTCTGCAGTCAATGAACCCCATTATCTGCTTTGGTAAGAGCTTGTAAACACATCGGGGCTGTTTAAAGAACCATTATGGAATTATTCTTGATCGATACGGAAATTCAACATGGCGATGCTATTTAAAGCAGCAGAATACATATTCGATCGCCCTATGGTTAATATACACAGCCTGTGATATATACTCATCGTGTAGTTAATAGTTGGTTTGGAATCCTTTAAAGTCGAGACAGACATATATTGCTGTGTATATGCAATAGTAAAACGGTTCCGTGATATTGTTTTCCATTTCGGTTCACGCCAATCGCCATTTAAAGACAACATTGTTCTCAGGATATTTTTCATCTCTCCTTTGAGCACAATGTATTTAAGTTTTCTCGGGTACTCCGATTACCCCCTCCCCAAATGTCATTGTAAAACTCAATTCTTGCATTGATTGTCAATTTAGGTTTAGCTCCTACTGTAAGATAATTTTCCTTTCGTGTGAACGACATCTAACTCGGATGTTGCAAAGCCAATAGCAGCAAAGTTAGAACTTTATTAAAGCATGTAATTTCATAAGGAAACTGACGGGAAAATATAATTCAGGTTCCATTTACTGTTTTTTGTTTTCAAGATTGTTTCATTTTGCATTGTCACCTATTTATATATATTATGTATATTAGTGTGGCAAATAGTTTTGTTGTTATATCCTCGTTTCTCATTTTGAGAGCGCAACATTTATTGTATTAACCAGCTACATTTACATTACTGGTGCCCTTCCAGAACACATGGTCTTATTCACCTTGATTTTCCCCCACGATCTTGTGTGTGCATTTGCCATTGTTTATCAATACTGGGTTTGAATTACGATTTCATGTCGTTTATACATATCGATGTTGTTGTTTCAGTGTGTTGTGAGCCAGTCATGCGACTCTATGTCTGATGGTTCAGCAGCCGACTGTTGGTATACCTTTTGGTATGTCTGGTAAGTACTTAATTCTCCCAAACCTATTTCGTTGCGAAACTCGCCGTATACTTTTTAACTTGTTTCGAGTACCGAATCGTTTGGATTTCTGGTAAGTAATGATTAAAAGAAGCGTTTTATGGATATTGTACGTACCCATGTTTTAGAAACAATGAAATATATATCAAGAAATACTTTTGTTGTTGTTAAAAGTGTCATCTTTTCAGCGTTTGTGGTTTTAAGACCTAAAACAAAAACAATATATGTTCGCGGGGTTCGATTTTCGTGGTGGAAAACAACCAAACAAAACTACAATAGTGGACAGACACGACACTTGATGGCGTGAATAAATGTGAACCAATGAAGCTTCATGTAATCATTTGAACATATAAAATCGTGTATTTTGAGTACCATTAAGTCAACGAAAACAAATTCCCCTCGAAAAACTAATGATTTTACATTAAAGGATTAAAATTTAAATGGATTTACCCAATTTACTTTGTCATTATGCCCAAGCACTCATATCATCTGTTAGGAAATTAATTACTTTAATCATGTTGAGAATATCAGAATGCGTTGTATCTCACTTTCAAAATAACACTTTTGGTGGATGTTGCCATGGCGTAAGGGTTGGACACTTTTTATATTTTCTGGATTGGCGATATGCTGTCGGGATTGTGAGTTCGAACCACAAACAAAGCACGAGTAAAAAAAATTAAGATAACGTGATGGTAAATTGTCTTTGAATAGTCTTGGCTGCTTTAAAGTACATGTACCGCCATCACTCGCATATCATCACCCGAACACTATTTTCAAACAAAAAAGTGTCGAATATCCCACCATATTGCCAAAATTACGTTTTATTTGGTCTCCATTGTTAATCACACCGTGGATGTATCATTCAAGCGTGTATAATACATCTATAGAGTTAAGCTCAGTATACGAGATTCCTCAAATAACCAGTAAACAATGCTCGGGTAAAATGTGTGCTGTGATTGTTGTTTATGTAAGTCACTACAACACCAATGAAAACATACTTTATTCTGAATTCAATCAGAACGTGCTGCCTATCATCCAAATTATTTACGAACAATATTTAAGTCTCCTTCGAGAATTCGTCCGAAATGCGAACTGTTACAGCAACGACCTCTGGACCTTAGCTCTCGCCTACGCTCTGTGGTAAACGACATTTATATGTGCTTCATACTGGCATGAACGAAGATTAATTTTCACAAGCACTTTATGCATGTCACAAAATTTCTTGTGTCTTAGAAAAAATTCGATTTTTTTTTATTTCGTCGCCGGAAAACAAAACAAAAACTGGCATAAGTGGGGATATCTGGATTGTACATTTTTAATCAAAGATCAAAAACAAAGAGGATGAGCGCGTTTCATTTGAAAATTGTTTTTATATGGATGAGATCGAGAAAGTCATGATGGCATACGGTGCACGCGAAACGAAACATTCGGTGTCGGATATACCAAGTTTAAATGGCGCTCGCAGAATAGTCGAGTTCATAGAAAAAACATTTCCGCCGGAATAAATGTAATAGACATGATCCTGATCAAAATATGAGGACGGCGTATGCAACATAACTGTCGGTTTTCTACGTCTCGGAAAGAGTATCTGTTAATTGTATTTATGTAATTGATGGTTGAAATGTATTGAAAAACAGCGATTAACACTACAATTGATATCAATTTAAACAATATTTTATTCAATATTCAACAATATAACACAAACAAATGATATGTATGGGATGGGTAAACTTCGAGCTTATATTAATTCTTTTCCATTAGATTAGTATTTGAATCGTGTATTCAGTATCTGTTTCGGCTATATATTAGCGTATTTATTGTATGACGTGTATCACTAGACTTTGCAGTATATAAAAAATGAAACCACAAGTAAAGCGCACATTCTATCAAAATTTTGAATTGATTGCAAATAATGGACTAAACTGCATCAACCGTACTATTAGATGTAGGTTGATGTCTGATGGCAGTATTGTTCTGTAGGTAATCACATACCTACGTATCTCAAAAAGTATTTAAAAAACCCAAAAATACTCAATAGATATAATACATCAAGTGTTGTATAAAATGCTACATAATTCCTCTTTTGTTTTTTTGTCCAGGGTGGCTTTCGGTTTATTCGTGGCGGTTATCATTACTATATTAATTGTTTACTACAAACATAAGTCAAAACGGAGGAACAGAGTACAACGAATTGGGCGTAAGTATCATAAACAAATATGTAATAACCGCAAACGTCTCCTCTGAAATATTTCCCTAAATCATATTTCAGTTGGGTAATATTACAACTAAAAATTGATTGAGTAAATACAACACCGCAATCAATATCATGAGAAAATAGGGTATCACATTTCAGATTTATAGAAAACTGATTAAGCTTTTACTTTCATCAAATATTTTCGTAACGCTGTGTCCTATTTTTTTAATTTGGAAGATATGCGAATACAGAGACGCATACACAATTTCAACGGTTTCTGATATCATTACCACCCAGTATACATAACCTTTATTTCATACCGTGTTCAAACATTGGAATGGATTTCTATAGAACTCTAACGAACAAAGATAAATATTCGTTTATTGCTCCGGACAAAAGAGAGCATTTTCTAGGAAATTGCAGCATCTGTAATAACGAGATTCATAAACTAACTTAGATTATTTTATACAAATGAATTGATTGCTTTGTCTGGATTACCGCTTCTCATTCTAGGCATATTCTCCATTTAGTTGTTTAAATATTTGACCGTCTAAGTTTCATCAGTTTTAAAATGTTTTTTATTTGATCTCTTACTGTGACCATTACAAATTGATGTTATATTGTAAATATTCTTTATCAGCTGTAAAAGGTTCATTTATAATTATAGTTCAATTCAAAGCTAATTTTATGTAGGTAAACATATTAAGAAAAAATGGTATTGATGAAATCCAAGGTACCTAGCGTAAGATATAATGACGAAGAATATAATGATAATAAACATTTTCTGATAGAAGTTTTGTTCAGAGAAAAAAATTCTAAGACTTGTTTTAGGAATTCTCAAAAGTCATTTCAGCTCCTATATTTGCTAATGCTACTTCTACTACCAGCAGCATGACACATTGGTTTAGAAGTCACGAGGAAAAATAACAAAATATTTTCCTTATCGGGCATTTCCTCTTGATACCAGAACCAGAATTCTTTCCTGGATAGAAATTTGCTATAATTAGGTATCATTTTTCTAAGCGTCCCTTTATTCTTCAATTATTGTCAATTTTACATTCTTAACGGTTTGTCAACATATAAAAGGTTATTAGGGCCATTAACCGGGGAAAGACACAACGATCCAAAAGGAAATCATATCAAATAAACAAAAAGGTAAACGACAAATGCTAAAAGAAGAAACATGATATTGATTATTTTCAAATTTTGCACGAGGACACTTTTAAAAAAATGCATTTTTATTTCAGCTGCCATGCCTAGGGAGCCACCTCCTTATCAGGCTCCCAGTCAAGAACCGCCAGCCTACGATGATGCTATCAAAGACAGTATAGCTGTCCCGCCTGGGTTTCATGGTGACATTCGACATCTACGGGGTAAATATCTAACTAGAAAAAAATCTTCAGTATATTTCAGATATTTAAGAGTAAAAATATTATACATATGGTATGTATAGTTTACCATGCGTTAAAAATTCTTCGAAACAATCTGAAAGTTGTACTTTTCGCTCTTTTGACGATAGGGCGAAACGAAAGGGTGAGACAGGTTTAGGTCAAGCCAAAATATATGTATCCTTCATTTCAAGGCGAATTTAACATTGAACGAAAATGAATTAACTTTTATCTTTCCCTCTCACCTGTATGATTGGATGATTTTATTTACTAAGAAATAACTAATCTTCGTTTGGGATTTATATTTGATTTCGCGAGCACTCTTAATCCATGGATCCATATGTCCACGAACTGTTATAATGATAAAATCGGTGCATTTGTTGAGCTTAGTATTCCACGAAATCAAGGATCCACGAAATATGGAGGGGAAATAAAACTACAAAAATCGAACGCCACGATAACATAAAATTTTAGAACATAAGAAAAAACATCCCGTGAAGTTTGTCTATATCTTATATGAAAACATCCGACCTTTACAAGCTCACATTTCTTTTTATCAACCTTACAGTGATATTATCCTTCTAACGTAGACATTATAAATATTCCAATTTCAAAATTACAAGATCGGTTGTGATAGCTTTATTTTCGTAAATGTCTGCTTACAGCTATAATATGTAGGCTTTTTATTTTACGACAATGCTGTTTATGTCATGATGGGTATATTTATTTTACGACAATGCTGTTTATGTCATGATGGGTATATTTATTTTACGACAATGCTGTTTATGTCATGATGGGTATATTTATTTTACGACAATGCTGTTTATGTCATGATGGGTATATTTATTGCTGATCAATCCTTTGATCGACAATTCAATACTTTTGAAAAATAAAAACACGAGTAGTTCTAGTATTGTTATTTGCACTCAAAACATTATTCAAACATTGCAGTTAAACTACAGCAGCAATGTTAGTCTGAGGTTAAGATAATATTTGTATCCTTTTACCAGATAATTTCCATTATTGAAATGAAAAAAATACTGACAAGTCAACACGGGTTTTATTCAATCTGAAGTCAGATGGAAATATGGCAAAATATGAACAGGGAAAAGATTTATATGGAAAAACTTACACGTGCAATTGTAAAATTCTTTTGAAAACATAAATGTGCGTTACTGAAACACAGATGTTACTTTTATATCAATTTTGTGTCGTTCATTTAGCTATGCAAATACGCCAACGAAATGAAGAAAATCACGAGCGACAGTACATCCAGAGACAGTTAGCTGCAAATCGACAACCGAGTGACATCAGCATAATATCTGTCCCGCCAGCCTACGTAGAACCAAGTGATCCTTCTCATATCCCGGGCGTACACCCACCAACCCGACATACGTTAAATAATAATAATAATCAGCATCAGCCTCCACAACAAGGTCAGGTACTTCCACAGCGACCAGCACGGCTGGGTCAAACAAGACCAACACAACAGCAGCAGCAACAACAACAGACACGGTCACAACAACAGACACAACAACCACATCCAGCCCAGCCTTCACGAATACCCCAAAGACCAGCACGTTTAGGACAACAACCGCCAACACAACAAGACAATGCTACCCAATCTCTGAACGTTCCTCAGCAAACACAGCCTCCCCCACGAACGACAAGGCGGTAAAACCGTTGCTTATTTTTTAGACTGGCTCAAAATGTACACATGCCATTTATTAGCTATGATTTTTAATGTTCAATATGTAGGTGATATGTATATAGTTATGACTTAATCGGGATAAAGCCAAAGGATTTCACATGGTTTTTACAGTCAAAACATGTCATCATTCTAATTATGTAATAACGGTTTTGCTCATTTTAGCTGTGATGCTAATTTATATCTATAATTTATTGCGTGTGTATATTTAACATGTAAAAACATACTTTTCACTGGTGTGAACTATAGAAAAGGTGGGCTACAAAGCTGTTGACATAAAAACAAGTAAGTTGGTGCTAGTCATTTCTATCTGATCACATCAAATTCCGTCCTGGTGCTGCTCACGTGATAAGTCATGTGGCATGGTCACATGGTATAATCTGTCTTTCTGTGATATTTTGTATGGCAGGTTTTATGTTTGTGTTTTTTTTTGTACCAGAGTTCTTGTAACAGTTCTATGTAAGGCGTATGGTGTGTGATTATGCTTAAATGCATCAGGATAATAATGTTCTATGATGACGTTGTCATACATATACATGTAATCCTAAATATCCATGTACAAGAAAGCGTTGTAGGCTTTGAATGTTCAGGTTTTATTCTGTGATATTTCTGTTTTTGTATACAGTTTTTAATAATGAATACTTTATTTTGCATTAGATAGTTGTTTTGTTTCTTCAGCCTTAACATAGAAAAAAACGAAATCTATCTTTCTCGTTTTATTGTCCTTTTAACATGTTAATATGTAATTTAATTGTCAGTACTTAAATGTTTTTTTTTTCAACATCGATGAAATTAGAAGGAAACTTCATCAATACAATCATATTGCTTGTTATTCAAGGAATGCATTTCATTCAAAAATATCATTTTTTTATTAAGCATTTTATAAATGTTAATATATTTATGGTTTTCAATCAAAACTGATTAATATCATAGCAAAATATAGATTACGTTATCAATAGGTACACAAGTACTGGATATGAAAGCTTACATTTCATATCACCGATTGCGTTCGTTAATGTTGTCAAACATGTCAGACGAGGATGTGTCCTAATTCCTGATAACTTTTTTGTCAACGGTATCAGGGTATTTGTAATATTTTTTTTCTCATTTTAATAATTGGGTTGTGTTGAATTCCATTTTGAATTTGAGAGTTAAACTTACTGATAAATTTCCATGTTTTTTTTTTTTTTTTTTTTGCATTCCCGTCTCTACTAGAAATGGTATCATAATATGGGTAACATTTTGCGTTCACATCAAACGTTATAGATGTACAAGCTTTCTATAACTACGTATTATAGATTTTAAAAGTCACCGCATAGTTGACCGCATGGGCGTTGTAAATGGTCGCCACGTCAGTAAGGTATCAGGACGAGATGTTTGGTTAGATAATCCTTACTCGGGGTGGTTTGCTTGTGAAAGGAAGATGCGATCCAGGTTCTTCCTGAACAAAAACACTTCATCTTATGAGTATACAGTGCGGCGGGTCTTCCGTATGTTGTTCTTTGATGTAGCAATCAGTGAGTACAAAGATACTTCCCCCAAATAATGACACTGATTATTGATGAGGTGATGGACTCAGCTATCGAGGCAACAATAAAATGACATTTTAGATTTTTTGTTTTTTTCAAATTAACGATTTAGTAATGACTGTTATTTGCCTCAGTCTGCCTATTTATAATCAACTTTTTAATAACTGCAATTGTGGATTTGTCACACATAAGAAAGATGTTTGGGAAATCCTTTAATTCTGATGGAAACTCATACTGTATAACATTTGTATTAGACAGACCTAGCAATTAAAACCTAATATCGAAAACCCTTCCTGAGACATAATTATCAGCGTCAATTCATGACAAACACACGTTTGTCACAGTTGTAAAAGGTCAACAATACATAGTTATGGTATAATATGACATTTCAAACAAATCATAAATAATCGACATCTTTTTATTCATATTCTGTTTTGTAATTGTACAACTTAACGTATGTGCCTTTTGCATTTCAAAATGTAGAATGCTGCGTCTTATCTAATGATTTATGATTATAATTATTTTGTGAGATGATATTTTTCAATATAAATAATGACTTATATAACTGCGCATTATGAAATGTTAAGTACATATATGTATCTGTGATATTTTGACTGGCATTGTATGGCATCAGAAATCCGCCCATTTGATAATATGAATCGCTTGTTATTACCTACTCTTTATATACTTGTCAACGTTGACTTGGAATCATGTGTGGTTTGTTTATAATATTATAATGGTGTTTGTTGGATTGAACAACTAAGCATTAAACGATTAAATAAATTTGCTTTTACTTCAATTGTTATTTTCCCCGTCGAATAATACTTTTAGGCATCGAATGTTACTTTTGTGACAATCAATTATTATTTTTGACAATCGAACGTTCTTTGTGGCTATCACTTATTAGATGTGACCATCTGATGTTACTTTTGACTATAAAGACATGCTGATGGGGTTCATAACTCTTCGTTTATCAGGAATATATTTTCTTGTTTATAAATACGGGAATTACACACGTATATAATTGAATAATATGTTATACAGTGTACGATATCAGAACACATCAATGCATTTCCATATTAGCGATACCACAAAGAATAGGAATATTTATACTGATGGCATCGACACTTGTATACAGCATTTGCTGAATCAAAATAAAATCTGCAGCAGTTAGGATCAGTTACTGACCATGGTGCAAAAACGTGCAATTATGTAAAGGGAAAACTTACTTTCTCTTCAGTTTCGTGAAATCAATTAGTCGTGAAAAGGACAAATTTAGCTAATCGATTTGTACATGTTAAAGTGGCATACCGTGTGTAAGCAACTATATCTATATATAGATAGATTCATGACTTAAAATGTGAATTGGTATACAATGGATACCTACTAGTTCCACTAAAATTATACATCCACGAAAATGATAGATTATACAGAATTGTTTGGCGTAAAACTTACGATACAGTTTTCTGTGATTATACTACAGGTTTATTAACGTATAAAATTTATCATGATATCCCTAACATAGAACAAATGCATAGGGATCCTGCAGGCCACTATAATCGTTGTTTATTTCGAATCTGCCAATGACATTTGTTATCTTATTACATCAGGGAAGCGCTTGAATGCGAATAAATAAAAATAAACAGAAAAAATCCATCCATGTTTATCAGATTGGTTATCTCACGCTTGTTGTGTTGATGTAGGATAGCTACACAGATGCTAAAGTATATTCATTTCATGCGAGAGTGCAGGCCAACACAAATCGGTTACTATGTCAAAATCGATTTCATATCATTTTCTCATTTCTGATGTCCATTTCTCAGAGTTTCCATGTCCTCGAACTGTCTCATGCCTTATTTGGACGAATATCACATATAGGAGGGAAAATGGCGAAAGATAAATTAAAGTACGAACAAGTGTGAATATGAGGCCAGCAGATCAAATAAATGTAGTATTGTTTTCGATTGTATTCAATAACTGGACACGACCATGAAACCTCGACTGAAGATCTAGTAAAACTATCTGTAATATGAAACATATATGTGTACATTGTACATTACCGCTAAATACCGATCACCATGGATGACCCTGATATTCCCTGAAATCGATTATTAATCACTAATTGATAAATAGTCTTACTCTAAAAGTCACTGACACCTCTTCTTCATCACTTATATGTGGGTATGCCTTTTATTACCAAGCCATGTGAACGAGACTAAACTCAGACGGATGAGCATAAAAACGAAATTATTTGAAATTATGAATTAGAAATACACAATCAACACTAGCCATAATATATAAACGTTTGTGTATATATAATGTAATTCACTATAATGTGTTTATATGGTACATGTAGTTCTGTATTGTTTACAAATTTTCTTGTATTTTATGAACAAAGTGTGCAGTAGACCACAACCGCTTCCCAGTCCAAATGATGTTGGACGAAGGGAAGTAACTCATGAAGTAATACACTTGAAAATTCGGTGTATTTTGTTCCTATGTGTATATAACTAATCCTCAGTGTATCAAATTAATTGTTACTCGTGATATTTTATTACACTGATTTTGAAAACCTTTAAAAGATATTTTCAATACTTAGACACAGCGTCATAGCATAAATAAAAATAAAACCTTAATACTACTGATCACATTTTTTTTCATGAAAAAAGATTCAGATATATACAGGAGTTTTCTTGAAATATACGACAGTGTGCTCTTATCATTAGAGTATTAGAAATGCAACATTCTGGCAAAATCAGAGGTGCGTGGTTTGATCCTAATCCGCTCAGCATGTGGCGGACCTCCCGCAAGTTGTTGTATTTCCTATTTCCACCAACTTCTACAATGTATAAGCCCCGCCGACCTTGGCTATTCCCTTCTCGATAAACCTATATAAACAAACAACTTAACATATCATTATTTACGTAAACAGACAGATAGGACACTTACGTAATAAAACCATGTGTTTGTGGTTTCGAATATATTGTCCTTATTCTAGTTTCGAGCATGTGATATTAATTGAACCTAGATTAACATGGCGGCTGTCGTAGACCAAAAAGAAATCGCGCACCTTTATGTGGTGTTATCCCTCTTGTAGGCTGGAAACGTTTACAGCACTGCGTTACAAGCATTTCCGGCATACGACCTTTACCTTTCGTCCCGATTGTGTTATTGGCATCCGTTTTGAATATTCCAGTTTTTCTCCTCGTTTAAACAGGTACATGGATAATGATTATTTATAATGTTTTATAGAAGTATTTTTCCACGAATGTTATTTTTTAAGTTATCACACAGATAATCAGATTTTAAACTAAGCAAAACAAAAGTTTCTCAAGTTGAAAAAATAGTGAACACAAGCAATGAGAGATAAAGTAATGAATATAGAGATGTCAAGCTGCTTCTCACTATCGGTAAGAAACTTAAGAAATCAACGACAACAAA